TAGCCAACTGATAACAAAAAGGGATTAAGTGCCACTTTTTGGTGCTTGAGTTGATATGTGGCACTGACACCTTTTTTTCTTAGGAGGTGTGGCTGGGTATTTGCAAGATTGAACAGAGATTTCCCCAGATTTTCAGGACTTCATTCTCAGGTTTTTCTTGCTACTTTTATCATTCACAGTTTTTCTAATCTTCATTTTGTATCTGTAAGATGGATAAATGACATATATTTGTTTCTAGATGACAGAGGTAGAATTGAGGTAGTTACCTGAGGCAATATAGTAAAATATAAGACAATGTTCACTTAAGTTTTATATTTACCCTCCTAATCAACAGTTTCTTCACCAGTTTAGAACCATCCTTGATTCTTCTGTCTCTCACCTTCCATATCAATTTAGTTGTGAAATCTTGTTAGTTTCTCCTCCACAGCATCTCTCACACTGGTCTCATTCTCTGCAATAAGTCCACCACCCACTTCAGGCTCTGAACACCCCTCTCCTGGACTATTGCAATACTCTTCTCATTGTTATTCCTGCTTCTAGTCTCTTTTCTCTCCAATTTATCTTCTGCACAACTGTCAAAACAATCTATCTAAATAATAGCTACACTTATATAACGCTTTAAGGTTTACAAAGGACTTTACATATATTATTTAATCCTTACAACAACCCTGAGTTGGGTGGTATTATTTATCCCCATTTAACAGAAGAGAAAACTGAAACTGAGATATTAGACTTGCTTAGGATTGCACAGCTAGTGTCTGAGGCATAATTTGAATTGAGGCCTTCTTGACTCCCAATCTAGCTACTCTACATACTATGCTACCTAGATGTTACTACAGCCCAAGTCTGAACCTAACATTACTCTGCTAAAGAAGTTTCCATGGCTCCCTAGTGTCTCCAAGGCAAAAATCAAACTCCTTACTTGAACATTTAAAACCCAGGACCAGCTGCCTCCAAACTATTTTTTAAGCCTTATTTCCCATTACTCCCCATGGCATCCATCTGGTGTATCTGTAAATTTGCAGTCTTTCCTCCCATGTTTGGAAGGTGTACTTTCTTACTAAACATCTTAGAAAGTTTTCTTCAAGGCTTAGTTCAGGCTCCACCTACTCCTTAAAGACCTTTCTAATCTTCCTAATTTTTAATGCTCTACGTTGTATTTACATATTTGTGCACATATTATAATCTCCAATAGAATGTAAGATCCTCAAAGGCAGTGATTATCTCATTTTTGTCTCTGTTTTCTCCATCATCTAGCACAATGCCTTGGTTTTTTATTTTTTTATTTTTCATTGGTCCAGACCTGAGATTTCATTAATATTGGAAATTTTTGTTGAGGAAACTAGCCCTACCAGTGGAGACTGGCAACTGGTCTGCATCTTAGAGAGTTGCTAGAAAAATTAAGTCATAGTTGCCTGGGGTAAGACTTGAACCTAGATTTTCTCCAAGGCCAGCTCTCTACGCACTACAGCAATGGTATCAAACTCAAACAGAAATGGAGGTTACTCAAGTGTATATAAAGATCCCTGTGAGTTGCATACTGACTTAGTGAACCATATATTAACATAATCTATGTTCTTGTATTTTTATTTATTTTGTTAAATATTTTCCAATTACATTTTAATTTGGTTTGGGCAACACTTAGGAGTGTTGTGGCTTGAAATCCAGTGTTTTACACCTCTGCAATACAGCACCCTGACTTAACATAGTAAATGCTTAATTTTTTTTAAAGTTGAATTGAGCAGGTGCCCAGTCTAACAATGCCAGCCCAGGACCAAAGCAACAAGTACAATGTCTGTAAAGAATGGAGTTCTTTTGTGAATTTTGAGGGTGGTCTGTGTATTGGGAATAATTAATAATTATTAGGTAATAGGATCTCACTACCAGTTACATTTACTTATTTTCCCTTGATGGGGGCAAGAGGGAGAAAGATCTGGTCAAATGATTATGTAGTCATATGGGTCAACGCTAAAAACCTATTAATCAATCAGCAAATTTCCGTTTTGGTTGAAAGTAAGCCTGAGATGGTTAAACAAAACAGAACAGAACAAAACCAGAATGAGGGGAATTTAGTCCATTGGGTGAGCAAATCCCTAAATCTGTTGGAGGTGGTCTGGGACAAGAGAAGTCACACTAACACTGGCAGTTCCAGAATTGCTAGGAAGTCACTGGAAGTCCTGAAATTCAAGACTAGAACTGAGAGATACAAGAATAGTAAAAGAGTGGAATTTATGCTATTGAGGTGGCAAAGAAACCGTGGTTTCATGATCTTTCCATGGGGATTTTCTGAGGTGAATAGAAAGATACTTAATGCAGAGAAGCCAGAGAAGAGATTTGTAAGACACTGATAGCAACATTGGCTATATAGTGCTTAGAGAACCTCAAAGTCCATTGAGCTTTTAGTCATATATCTAGCACATAAGACAAATCTGGGGTGTCCTTGAATCTAGGTGATAGTTTTCATAAGACCAAGGTGACCCTGCCCACTTGGAGTTAGAGGGGGGAGAAAAAGAGAACTAAATTTTCCCTAAAAGTTCTCCAAAGAAGAATTAGTGTACTCAAGTAGGATTCTTCCTCAAGATAAGGGTATAAGCTATACTCAGAAATGAAACTGACCAAGTTTCCAAAAGGGCAGGTGTTAGTCATAAACAAAGGAGGTCTGAGGGAATCTTGGCTGTAATATCCACTTATGGGGAAGAAAGGATAACTAAGAAGAGTTGCCTAGATATTGCAGGGAACCAGCTGGTTTCTAAACCCACAGTTACCCTGACTGCCCTCTCCCCTAGTCCCCCATCCCACACACCTACGCCTATTGCCAAGAGTAGGTGGAGAAGCCCAGTATAATCTGGACCTGATGATCTAGACACATCCAAAGACAGAAACCAAGACGCTGACAGTATTGTGCAACTCTGGTGGCCCTGGAGAATAGGTGCCTTAAAAATGGACAACCTACATGTTTCCTTAGTAGGAAGACTGATTTTTGTTACGTGAGTGGAAACAAGCCCTAATAATAATGCAAAGCCTCAGAAAAGACTTGACTGCCTCTACTGTTAGCCCACCAAAGGATGAGTGGCTGCCAAGTTTTCTCTAGACCCAGAATTCTGGGAGAGGAAAACACATAGAACTAAAGGAGCTACAATTAGAATTTTAAAATTATTTTTTCCTTCCCAGTAGGAAGGTGGGAATGAACGGTCCACAATAGTAAACTACTACTAAATAGTAGTAAATGGCTACTAGATACACCAAGAAATCCTCACAGAGGTGCCCTGCTAATGTTCTAGCCCCAGTCCTGACTCTACCTATCCTTACACAGAAATTGAGGTACAACAGGCAAATGGAAGAAAGTTTGAACAATTCCTTTCAATGTTATTAGGTAGCTTCTAGAAGAGTGTTCCTAGGCAATCAACTTTTAACTGTGACGCATAAGGTGGGAATGGGAGGAAGGAAGTATTTTCTTTTAGGTGTTCAATGTCTGATCACCTAGCAGCAACAGAAGCAGAGTCTAATTGAAAGCAAAGAGGAAACCTATCACTAATTGTTGGGAAAAAAAATTTTTTTCATCCAACACTTTCATCTTATTTTTCAATCTAAAAGACTCATATCTGAACAAAAGATTTTATTTGTGAGAATTACAAGCTCTAGAAGTGATTCTGGAGAATCATAATCTTGGGAGTCAGTTAATGTAAGGAACAGGGTTGTTTTGTGAACTTTGAGGGATCCTTTACAATGCCCAAATAGCAGATAACAAATATAATCCACATGGGTCCCATCCTGCACACCAACTCTCACCACGTAGTTACCTGAACCAAAGTGAAAAAGAGTCAAACCGTTAGCACCAACTATTGTTCAGTTGGCCAAATTGTCCTTTTCCACAACATTTAGCAAGTGTCCAACTGATGTGTTGTAAGGCAACTGCAGCATGGTAACAGCAGCCAGTAGATATTCTTTGTCTATGTTGGGTCCTCTACTAGCTGTTATCCCACCTTAGGAAATTTCAGAAGCTTGACCACTCCAGTGAGAGGTGTAGGGTGCTGGGGTTTTAACAGGAACAGTCAAGTTGTCATTTCCCTGTTTCTATCTACTTGTATAGTTGGAAGTACAGCAAGTACAGTTTCATTTATAATTTAAAAAATTCTCATTTTGTAGGGTTACAGAATCAGGAGTTTCAAGTACATGTCAAGAGAAAGTAGAAATATTAATGGCCTCAACCCCTAATATCATTCAAATGGAAGTCTCTGTGGAACTTCCAATGTCACCCCCCATACTCCCTCAGGAAGCACCCTGGAATCCTTCATGGTCCACCCTAAAAAATGGGCTTACCATAAAAATAAAAAAACCAAACACATTACTAATATTAAATTGAAAGTAAGGTTCAGATCATATAGGTTTCCACTATCCAGTCTGGTTACCCCATGCCTTAGGGACTAAGGAGAGAATAACTACTCCCTTGACTTCCAGTGGTGACCCCTTAAAAGGTAAAAACACATGACAACATACTACCTGATAGCAACTGAATATTCCAAAGCCATTGATACAGCAACTTTTCATCAGAAACAAAAGGTGACCCAGCCCTCTGCAGATGTGAGGGCCATTGGTTCATTTCTAACTCAGTAATATCCAAATATGTCCTAGATACAGTTGGGAGGGAAGGGTCTGAAATAAGTGAGAAAGGAGGGTAAGTAACAAGAGAGTCAATTTAAGAAGGATCAGAGTTAGAGAAGGTTGTATGCACAGTGGATGAAATCAAAGGCCAGGTTGTTAAGTACAATCCAGAAGGGCCAGAGATAAAGGGATGTCTGTGTATCAAGGTAAGGAAGTCAGCAACAAGTTAACAGTCCAAGGAAGCAGACAATTAACAGTCCAAGGCCAAAGCAAGGGTCAGAAAAACTGGATAACGGCCAAAAGAAGAGCCTGAGGTCAAGCAAAGAATTCTCAGAGTTTTTCAGTCTCAATGAGGTGGGCACCCCCCTGATCTTCTGGATCAGTAGGTCCCTGCTCACCTCCACTACTTCCTGATTGGGAAGTTGCTGTTACTGGACGACCTGGAACAGTATGTTCTATTTCCCATCTGTTTGCTGTCCTCCTTCCAATTCTCTCTGCAAATCCTCTTTGGAAACTATATCTTGGCTGGTTTTCACACCAACCTCTCTGATGACCAACTGTTCTTTCTTCAACTGCTTTTTGCTGTCTAGTTTGGCGATACTGTTCATAATCTTCAGTCATCTTCTTCCTTAGTGTTTTGCAAATGGCCTTGTATTCTGGGCCCTTATCACCCCTAGCTGCCATGTCTCTCCTCTTAGCAAGGAGATTGAGTGTTTCTTGGCTAAGGCGGTTTCTGGGCTCTTTTGGTCTCTTCATTGTGATGATTTTTTTACATCGATTAATCTTTTGTAGTAAATGCCGTTCATATTCAGAATCATAGTCTCTATTTCTGTTCATTTCCCAGTTTTGGGATTCCACAGTGTGTTGAAACAGTTCTTCTTCAAGCTGCTGTAATCGTACACAGTGCCTTCTTTTCATCTTCATCCTTTCTTCTAATTTGGTGTTTAATTTAACTTTTGCCCGAACCAATCGATGATATGACTGCATACAGACGACTGATTCTGAAATGACTGCCACATCTGTAACCAGTTGCTTCTTGTCTGTTAAAATATAGTCAACTTCTTCTTTTACAACTTCATCTGGGGACCACGTCCAGCGCCTTCCTACTCTCTTCATGAAAAAAGTGTTCATGATATACAGGTGTGAGGCTTCTGCATATTCTACAAGCCTTCGGCCTCTTTCATCTCTTGATCCAGAACCATATCTTCCAACATACTCTTCCCCTTCCTCTCCTGTGCCCACTTTTGCATTGAAGTCACCAAGTATCAAAGTATATGCTGATTCAATTTGGAGGATTTTATCAAGATCCTCATAGAATTTATCTACTTCTTCTTCCTCTGCTATGGACCTTGGTGCATAAGCAGCAATGATTTTCATGGTGGCATCTCGGCTGACCCTCATCGTAAGCACTGCGAGGCGAGAGGACCAAGTATACCATGAAATTATGTTCCTTGTTGCCTTTGGGCCCACCATGAAACCAACCCCACCAACTCCTTCATTCCCCTCTCCGAGGAGAACCTGCCAACCGTCCTTCCATTCAGATGAAACCTCTTCTTCACGTCTAGTTTCATTTATAGCAAGTATATCAATGTGTATGTTTTTTAGTTCCTCGAGCAGCGTGTCTACTAACTCATCAGTGGACAAGGAACCCACGTTGAAAGTCCCAATGGCTAAATCTATATTTATATAGGGTCTCTTGGCGCCCTGGGGGCCTTTCTGCGCCTTTCCGCTTCCGCCTCGGCCCCCATCACTGCAGGAGGGGCCGTCATAGGAAGGGGGGCCATTTTGTAGTTCTGCCCGATTCATAGTTTTCGCGGCCAAAAAAAAAAAAAAAAAGGGGAGCACCCAGCGGGCTGACCTTCTGGTGACGAGCCTCTCCGCGCTCGGCTAGGCTGGGCCTCCGACGGCAGACATACAGCGTTCAGACGCGTTCAGCAAGAAATAAGTTTTAAAAATATATATTAATAATTATAAGAGACTTAACTAACGCCCGGGGGGGATGGGGAAAGGCATAGGGAACACCATGAGACCAGGGGCTCAACCGTCGCCGGAAACTGCGAGTCGGGAAGATACAATACTGCGCAGGTGCGTAAGCACTGGGAACGAGTCCCGCCCTCTACTCGCACGCGCACTCGTGCCAGAACGCAGGCGCGGGGAGTGCGAGCCCGGGATGGCCGGAGCCCCGAGATCTCCGCCTCCCTCAGTGTGTTTAGTTTCCGGGGCCGGCTGTCGGGCGCGCCGCTGACGTCATCACCGCGCGCTGCCACGTCTCCTCAGCTCCGCGGCAACCGGGGCTGGTCACTGCTGACTGGACTGGAGCTAGGGTCTGGCCACCGGGCGTCCAGAGACAGCCTGGCCAGCCCTTTTCGGATCTCTGTGAGGCGACGAGGGACAGCAGGCCTGGAGCGTCGCGGTCGGGGCGGGGGAGGGAACCTGTCCGCCCGCCCCAGGGACAGCCCGTGAAACCACCACCGCCTTTTTGGGGAACCCGCCCCGCCGTCCAGGCCTCCATGCGTAAGTCCCGGGGCCGCTGGCCCATCTGGGGGTCTGGCCGCCGGTCTCGTCTTTCTCCTCTTCTCTTTCACTCTTCCCCGTCAGGAAGAGGCATCGGCACGGCCTCCCTCCGGGCCCCTTTCTCCTCTTCTCCTTTCTCCCCCTCTTCTGTCTTCTGCAGCTCAGAACTAGAAAAGCCCCTTTACGAAGGAGGGAGCCGAGTCCTTTAAACGCCTTCCTTGGGCTCCCGTTTGTTAGTCCAGCGAGACTGATGAGGCGGCGGACATGGGAGTTAGTAAAAAGTCAGCTGTGACGTTTTGCAAACCTGAGTTTTTCAGATGCTTTGTGGTGATTCTAGAACACTAAAAGCTGTAGCATATGAAACTTGGCTTGCTAACCCTACCCGAGAGCCCATGGTGTAGTCAGTTTGATGGGAAACTTCATTTCTTCTAGTTGTGGGTCTTCCTTTTTCTGAGCATACTTTTTTAAGGGTTCAGTTTCACCGGATTGCGAGGTCTGGGCTGGGAAGAACTTAAGTGACCATTATAGGAAAAAAGAAGCACCCCTAACACACTGGACGAGGGATCATCCACCTTGTGTTTGCAGATCTCCAAGGAAAGGGAACTTAACTATCTCCAGTTGCACCCTATTCCACTTTTGGATACCTCTGATTATTAGGAACTTTTTCTTCTTTACCTAGTGAGATTTTATTTTCAGTACTTTTCCACCCCTTCATTTTGTACGATAGAATAGAAGTTCTTTTTGTGCCTTGGACCCCTTTGACAATCTGGTGAAGCCTGTGGACTACATAAGTAAATACATTCATAAAATGTACATACATATTACATACATAAATTACATAAAATACATAGGATTATACAATAAACCAATTATATAGAAATGCAATTATCAAAATATTTTTTAAAAAAATTCATGGACCCTGTATTAAGAAACCCCTCCCATAGGGCATGAATAATTTCTCCTAAATTTGAATATTTGTTTTTCTAAGCAAACTTTTTAAGGGTTCACTATAAGAAAATTACTAGTTCTGTGTTGGAAGGGATTTTGGTGATCATTGAGGCCAACCCATACCCAGAAAAAAAGTCCATCAATAATACACTGGACAAAGGTTCATGCATCGTTAACAGTATTTTATATTTCTGTAACATCTAATTTTTGAAAGTACTTTCTCATCTAGTATATCACTTGATTCTCATAACCATCCTCCTCTGAAAGGTAAAGCTGATAGAGCGTAGAATTCTCATTTTCCCAGAGAAAACTGAGTTACGCTCAAGTATTTGCTTGAAGTCTCATATCCAGTTAGTAGTGGAACTAGGACTAGAATCTTTTAATTCCTCATTCCAGACTTTTTCCAGTATATCACAATGCCCCTTCATTATTTCAGTTGATTGAAAATTAAATGATAAGGTTATTATAGTATATCTTGTCAGATTGGATGTTGTATTTATGTTTTATCTAATATTAAGCATTTACTGTGTGCCAGGCAGTATGCTGGGATACAGTACAAAAGTGAAAACTGCCTTTGTCCTCAAGGAGTATACATTCTATCAGGGTAGTTATGTGTATGTAAGTTTGGACAAAATGTATACAAAATAAATAAAAGGAAATTTTGGGAGAAGGCACTGGCCAGGGGAAGGGGGTGAGAGGATGGGAATCAAGAGAAACTTCATGTAGAAAATGACTCTCAAGCTGAGTTTTGAAGGAAAACAGGGACTGTGGGAAGTAGGGGTGAGGAGAGAGTATATCCCAGGCATGGATCTTGGCTTCTTTTAAAAGCACAGAGCAGAGTAATGGGAATGTTCTGTTTGAGAAACAGCAAGATAACCAGTTTGGCAGGACAAAAGAGTGCTTGAAAGCGAGTAGTGTATATGAGGTTGGAAAAGTAGGTTGGACACAGACAGTGAAGGTCTTTAAATGCCAAACAGAGGAGTTTATGCTTGATCCTAGAGGTAATAAAGAGGAAGTTTATTGAGCACAGAGATAACATGATCATTAGACCTTTGCTTTAGGAAAAAAATCCCTTTGGCAGTTGTGTGTAGCATTTCAAATAAAATTCAAATAAAAATGAGGGCCATTGATCTGTACGTAAAGATCCCTGTGGCTGCATATTGACTTAGCTTTAAAATGTAATGTTTATGTTTTATTTTAATTTTTTATTTTGTTAAATATTGCCCAGTTACATTTTAATCTGGTATGGCAGCACTTGGGAATGCTGTGAGAGTAGTGTTGTGGGCTGCACACCTGGCCTAGCTGACATGTTTGATACCTCTGATGTGGAGGATGGAATGGAGAAGAGAGAGACTTGAGGCAGGGAGACCAACTTGGAAGTTATTGCAGAGTCCAGGTGAAAGGTGATAAGGGCCTGAACCAGTGGTGATCAAGCTAATAGAGAAAAGGGGATGATTGCAAGAGATATTATAGATATAGAATTAACAAGATTTAGTAATTGATTGGATATTTAGAGTGAGGGAGTTTGAGGAATTGAGAATACCTCTGAAGTTGCATTCTTGAATGACTGAAAGATTGATGGTGCCATTGACAAAAACAGGGAAATTGGGAATAGGGACAAGTGATTTTTAAGGGTTGATGAGTTGTGTTTTAGACTGTTGAGTTTGAGATTTCCAGATGTTCAGTAGGAGAAAGTCTAGGGCTAGATATATAGGTCTAGGGATTATCTCCCTAAAGATGATAATTAAACTCATGGGAAGAGATGAGGTCACCAAGAGAGAGCCTGTAAAGAGAAAAGAGAACCTGTGACAAAGCCTTGAGGTATAACCACAGTAAGGATGATGATCTAGGAAATTGAGGAGTGATTACAGTTCGGAGTAGAACAAGAGGGAGTAGTGTCACACAAAAAAACAGGAAAGGCTATCCACGAGAAGGTGGTTGTCTCTGTCAAATGTTGCTGAGGGGTCAGGAGGATGAGGATCGAGGCTATCAGATTTGACAGTCGGATTGAAAATTGATAACTTTTGAGAGAGCAGTTTCAGTTGAGTGATAAGGTCAGAAACCAGATAACATAGGGTTCAGAGTTTAAGTGGCAGGATTGAAACTGGAGGCCTTAAGAGTAGATAGCTTTTTTCTAGCAGTTTTGGCCCTGAAAGGAGGGGAGATCTAGGAATAACTTCAGGGGATGATAGAGTCAAATATGAGTTGTGGAGCTTTTTTTTTGTTTTGTTTTGTTTTTGGTTTTTTTTAATGTGTGTGTGTTCTTTGAAGAATGGAGGAGACCTGAATGTGTTTGTAGGCAGCAGGGAAGAATCCAGAAGATTTAAAATTAGAGACAGTTGATGATTATGATTGTAATCTCCTGGTATAAATTGGAGGCTTTTGGAATCAAAGATACTTAGTAGGATTAGCCTTAGTGAACTTTTTTTGCATACTTTTCATCCAAATACCGAAGCTCAAAGTGTTTTCATTTGCATTTCATTTAACTTTGTAAGACATTTGTAAATTAGAAATAAACGATATTAATCATTTTACATTGAGTAAAATGAGGCACAAAGATTTATTTAAGGTTTTCTAGAGAGTGGATTAGAACTTTGATCTTCTGACAACCCTGAGATCAGAAGGATAAAGATTGTTAATCTTTCCATTAGACAAGTGGTTCTCAAACTTTTTAGGTCTCAGGACCCTGTTACACTTTTAAAAATCATTGAGATTTTCTCCCCTCTCTACCTTGCCCCCAAAAGCTTTTGTTTACTGTGGGTATTGATATTTGCTGTATTCAAAATTAAAGTGTGTTAGTGTTACTGTGAAAATAGTTTTGACTTTAGGGACCCTGAGAGCTGCTATATAAGACTAACATAGCTAAAGAATATTGCAAATATTTGACTAACTTATCTTAAAAAGTTTTTCATTTACCTTTTCTTCTTTGTAGTGTTATTCTCAAGTAGTAAACTTGTATTTAAATATTTCTCCAGAGGTGGAACAGGTTGGAAACCATTGACTGGGTCACAGCTGTGGGTCGCACTGGAAACATTCTGGTTCCTGGACATGCCCGGTGGAAGGAGGGGCCCTAGTCGGCAACAGCTAAGCCGTTCAGCTTTACCTTCTCTGCAGACTTTGGTTGGAGGAGGCTGTGGCAATGGAACAGGTCTAAGAAACAGGTATGGGCAAAATGACGCTATGTGCTATTTGTAATGTGATACGATCAGAAATCATTAGGCTGCAAAGAGGTATACCTCATCAAAAATAATTCCAGAATCCCACTATTAAATACTGTTTGAAAGCTTTTGAGTATTTTTAGAATGTCTTGGGTTTAGCAAGATTGTAGCAGGAGAATGCCATAGTTAGAGATTAGGGAATATAGTACTGTCTTTCTTGGTTAAAAAGAGTGTCCTACAATTCCAAAAGACTCATGATAGAAAAAGCTATCCACATCTGGAGAAAGAATTATGGAGTCTGAATGCAGATCAAAGCATACTATTTTCCCTTTTTTTATGTTTTTTCTTTTTTTTTTCTTTCTCGTAGTTTTTCCCTTTTGTTTTGACTGTTCTTTCACAAATGACTAATGTGGAAATATGTTTACTATG